GACGATTAGTCTCAATTTATCCAAGTTTAATAAAGGAAAGTGGGGGTGAGGGAACAGCCAAGATTTTTGATTTACAGTTAAAACATTTTGTTTAACCTGAGATTAATATATTTGTTTTCATATGCAAAAAAAAGCCTACTAAAGGAACAAACAGAAAACCACAATCCTTTTCCTCTCACTTCAGCCAGCAAATAGAAAAAGCAATGCTTCAAGCAGTGCTTGTTGTTGCATTCATTATAAGTGCTTTCACTAGATATATCAGGAAATTTCTCTGCATTATGGAAATCTAAATTAGATTTTATGAAAACAGGGGAAAAAAAGACAGACAAACATTTATCTCCAGGGAGGAAACAACTGATTCAGCTGCAGCCAGCTGTTTCTATACATTTACCAGAGTACATTCCTCCAGGGCTCCCACACTGCTGGCCTATAAAAGGTGAGAGCTAGGAGCTTCCCGACGTGTTATCTTTCCAGGCTAGATGCAAGACTGTTAACAACATGAAAAAGGGAAATAGTTCCCCTTGTTCTTATTGCTGGAGGAGTCATTTTCCTCCTTCTACCAGGTTTCTTACAGCTCTGCCACTTAATAAAACAGGAGAAGACACTGATCCCCATCACACATTCTTCCCATTTCTCTGGGCATAGGTATTTAACAAAAGGGAATGTTCTCCTAAGTTTTGCCTAACTTGTCTCCGAATCACTGCGGGACAGCTCATGCCATTTCACAGCTGTTGTCTTGTTTACATAGCATGCTTTAAGTGGACATTCCCATCATGGGACATATGGAGCATTGATGTTACATATTGCATTCTAGAATAAGGCTAGTTAAATCCCGCTTTTATGGCTTGAGTTTTTAAGTCCCAGTGAGACTTTGCTGCAGGAGACTGACAGGAGGGACAGGTGTGTTGTGGCTTCAGCCTGGTGACAAGTTTTCACATTCAGTTGCATTCTTCCAGCAGCAAAGGGCCAAGCAGCTGGCAGCCTCTCAGCCTCCCTGCCTCTGTGGGAATGCCTGTGGCAGGGAAAAGAATGTGCTGTGTCTCGCACCCCATCACGCAGCTGCATTGCAACACAGGCACGGCTGCTGCTCCTGCTCATCAGGTGAGGCCTCGTTTGAACACAGTCTCAGCCCCCCTGAGTTACCCTGAACGTGGTCCTGAGGTCCTTGCCCTGAGAGATGCTGAGTGCTTTTGGCAGTGAGCAGATCTCATAATCAAAGAGCAAGGCTTACTGAATTCAGGTCTCTTTTTTGCAAACAGAAAAATCTTCCAGGTTTTAAATTGGGTGGGAACTAGACATAGCTCATCACGTTCCCTTGCTTACTTAAACCCAGATTTTAATAGCAGTAAATTGCACCAGGTTTTGCAGGAAACAGTTTTAAAAGGGTCCTTCTGAAGCCATTCAGCCTGTGAGCAAGGTGACTCCATTAATGGAGCACTTCTAGATGCAGACACCCTTTGTGTGCCTATTTTATGAGGAATAGGTATATAACAAAACTGAGAAAGCCAAGTAAGAAAAGACTGGGCTTCTTTTGGCTGCATTGCATCTAAGGGCACTGACATGAAGCAAAGGGATAAATTACCCTTTGTTCTGCATGGATGTGTTAGGGAGGAGAGTACACCCTCCCCATTCCTTTTCTCTCCCTCTTGTCACATCTCTCATGATCTTCAGAAATGCTTCTTTGTAGCTCAAGGGGAGGAGTTGGCACTGCTGGCCAGGACTAGACATTTCTGTAGAAGCATAAAGGGGGGGTCAACAGGCTGGGCATATATACCGGCTACACTGGCAGATTTGGCATAGCGAGGGCTGGACTCACTGCACTTCCACCAGCTTTCACCTGGGCAGTGTCCCTTCCTTCTCTTGTGAATTATTTGTGGTACTATGGTAGCGAACAGGATGAAGTGCTGCACCAAATTCCTATCCTAACTATTCAGGCTACAAACCCAGCCATAGGAAAAATAGCTAAGAAAAAGCAGAAACCAGTCACCTTTTTTGGCTGTAAAAGAGGAATGGTGTGAGAATCCAGAGTAAAGTCCCAGCCCACCACCCTCTCACATGCTCTATATAGCCATCAGGCAAGCGCTCTTCAGAGTCTTTTCTTGCAAGATGTGTTATAGGTATTACTGCATACAAGCTATTTCCTTTTTTTTTTTTTTTTTTTTTCCCTTTGAAGGTCACTGTGAGGGTGAGCTGCATCATTACACAACTCAGCAAAGGCAGGTGCTACAATTACCTAGTCTAAAAAATCATGCAAGAGCGTTTGCTCTTTTACAAGGAGAGCAAGCATCTGGGATCTTTCCTTTTTTTCACAGTAATCTCATTTGCTATGAAATGAATGAATGAAGTTCCTTGGATTTTCCTTGAAGACTATCTCTAAGTACCAGCCATCTGATCTGCAGCAATCTAGAGGGAAGGGGATATATAAATCTCCTTTGGTTATGGACACCTTCCTCTCACACTCCGCCAAAATCATATTGTCTCCCTCCAGATAGCAGCAGCTGTGACTGATGCATCCATCCAGTGGCAGTGAGGACAATGTGGGTCTGAAGCTGCAATGTTGCTTGGTAACCACATGCAGAGAGCACCTAATAGCCAGGCTCTGGAGCCCACAGGGTCGAATCTCTCAGACAAATGGGTGCCTTGCAGTTGGCCTGAGGATCAGCAGTGCTCAGCGTGGACCCCTCCTGCACAGCAACCGCAGCATTATGTGCTGGGCTGTCTGGTCATCGAATTTGAGAAGTTTGTCTCTTTATCTCATCTCTGCAATTGATGTTGTGCGCTTCACTGGTGTCTTTGGAGCACTCCAAGTCCATAAGCACAATGCAAACCTATTCTGAGCAGATGAACAAGGACCTGACCCTGCATCCTCCACAGCATGGCAGAAGGACTCAATGGCACAAAACCTTATTTATTTGTGAAAGCATTCCTATTTGAATATATTTATCATATAACTTTTTATGACGTTCTGGGACTCTGTCAAGCGGTATACTTAAAATGTATTTTGGGATTCTGACATATTTGGAGCTTGGTCAGATGTGGAGCTTGGCTCCAGATCAGAATCTCACTCACGTTAAGTCTAGTTGTGGAATGAAATCCTAGACTAGGGTTTGTATTCAAATTAAACAATACTAGAATCCTGCAAGCTGCTCTTGTAAGAGCTCACCTATATTTGGTGTCTACCTGAGCAGCTCAGGCTTTAAATAAAGTCAGTAACACTTGCTTGACTTTTACGAGCATCATGAGAAGTCTTGTTAGAAAGAAAAAAAAAATAAGGCTTTTTTTGGAAACCTAACCAGAATATGGGCTTTTCCCTAGGAAAAAAAAAAAAAATAGTTTGGCCACAGCTTTTGGTTCATATCAGGGAATTAAACGAATTTTTCTTTCTGAGACTTTCCTTTCTCTGTATTTTCTTTGTAATGAATGAGCCAATAACTTAATGAAGGGAAGAAGAAATATGGCCAAAGCAGCATAGCCATGAAGTATCACGTATCTGATATTGTTGAACACTGATATCAAATTTGTCATTGTACACATTACTGGCACATTACTTTAAACTCAGAAGCAAAATCCAAACCAGAGTCAGAATGTAGCAGAACATTTATTTTGGCACATTAAACATGGAGGCACATATTTAGAACAGCTTGCGGAAGAAGAGTCACACCTTTAAAAACAAAACGAAGCCTGTGTTCGCACCTCACATGTGAAAACTGGAACTAAAAATAACATAATGGTTTCACTGTGTTAAGCATACTACAGCACATGGAGCCATCAGGAACTTCCTCAGTTCCTGGGACCTCCAACCCATTTAATACTTGCTTCTTGCCATGATCCCTGCCTTGTCATTTTCCCCTTGCATAAATATATACTGTCCTGTTTTAGGCTCACCAAGGGGTGCACAGAGGCCATAGCCTCTTGGCAAGCAAACTGGGGGTGCTCCTGACCCAGCTCCATTGCTTCACAGGCTTCAGGGTATTCATCTGCAACTACATCATCCTGTTTTGTTCTAGCAGGGAAACATCAGGCCTCATGCACCCAGACTGCCAACCTGAACGTGGTAATAGGGCGTAATCAGACAATTCGCTTGAAAAGCACACTCCTGGTCTGAGCTAGAGCATTAATGGATGTCCAGGCTCATGCAGCAGCAGCTGCTGAGCAACTCTTATTGTTGCTGTAGTCAGGGGCATTGCCTGAAGGTGCCCCTCTCCCTTTCTGCCTCTCAGCTGGTGATGTGGTAACACACTAAAACCTTAATTTACTCATATCTTCCCTCTGTATGCTGTACTTTCAGGGCCACTGTACATACTGGCGGTGTGTTAGTGAAGCTCTGTGCATGGTTATGAAGCACAGCAGGCAGTACAGAAATGCTCCATGCTATTTTTGACAATTACACCACTTTATTTCATAGTGCACTGACTAAATTCTCTCGTGGATCCTGTAGATAATCCCCCCGTATTACAGCCTGATAAATGAGGAGGAGTCATCTTGTTTCCTTTCCCCTGGTGCTGCTCCCCTGGGAGTGTTGCTGCCTGTGCAGATGCACAGAAGAAATGGTCCACGTGCTCTCCCCCTAGTGTGGCTGTGAGAGGCCTTGTGCCTGCTGGGCTACGGGGGGGAGTCTTTCCCCATGCTGAGCTCCTCACGCCAGCCAGCAGGTCAGCCGTGACATGGCTCTACATAACTTTCAGACAAACCCAATCTCTGCCTCCTGATGTGCAAGAGGAGCCTGCCTGTCTCAGTAAATGTGTTTGAGGTATCTGCAGCAGTGAGAATGAACCAGAAGGTAAATCACACATTCCACCAATGAAAAGGGCTCAAGAAGCATGAATATGGCAGTTCTTCATAAAAAAAGTCATGAGACTGGCTATGAATCTTCAAAGTGCACAAAATCAATTTGTTTTCAAGTTCAATTATGGCCTAAGCCTTTGGTATTCACATTTTCTAACTCTTCTGAGATCTGCAGGGCAAGGATTTATATCTCTTTCTTTTCTCTGTTTAAACAGGTTCTCACATAATCCTGATCCTTGACACTGGGCTGCAAAGGAGTGGTCCCTTCCTGCCACCCTCCTTCAGGCAGCTTGCCCTGTGCAAGAGCTTCCACCCATGATGCTGCCTTGCAGAGAAGAACCAGGGAAACATGTTTCATTCTGAGATATTCCCAGATCTCTGGCTACACAGCCCTGCTCAACAGCAGGAGAAAACAATGGTGAAGAAAGTAAAGCCCAAGGAATAAGACTGTGACATTGATGACTAGGGTAATTTTGACTTCAGGAGGAATAGCAGAGGCTAGGGACTAGCCAGCATAACAGGCATGTGGTGATGGCTCAGAAAGCTGCTTCCACCATCAGTTTTCTGTGGGCTTCCACACTGCATGTGAGCTGCTGGAATGCATGCGTGCTGCTGTGCCCTGTTTGTTGTGGAGGAGCTGCCTCAGGCAGAGCAACCAGCCAGGGGCAGCCCTGCAGCAAACAGCTGTGGCAGTTTCAAAGCGAATGCGAGCCAAAGCTCTTACTCTGTGGTGCTCACAAGGCTACTGTTAGCAGGAGTGGGGGGGAAAGAGTAAAAAGCAAACAGTAATGTGGTAATTCCCCTTAAAACAGGAACTATTAAGAAACTGGAGTCTCTGTGTGTAGCTCACACAGCCCCTTTATTATGCTCACCTTTTAAGATCTACCTTGCATGATAGGGTCCTTGTTCTCTCTCACCCTCTCCCACTGTAAATTTTCCAGATGGAATGATACTTTCTTTAAGCACTCCTTCATTACAATATCAGCTACCTCTCTCACCTGGGAAATAAAGGTTAATTGGTGCTATGCAATTACAGATTCATATCACAGGCACTTGAAATAGGCAATATTAACTAACAATCATTGCAAAAATGGTAATGACTAAGCTAGAGGCACCTTGAAATCCTCATCCAAAGCTAAAAATTGTGACCAGTGTACTATCCAGCCAACTGTATACTGAAATTATACAGACATCTTTGGAGGCTATTTACAGGCAATTAAAGCAGATATGATAAACTGCAACATCCTCAAAATCTCAAGTGTAAGGTACCTTAATTCTAAGTTATGGCTAATATATCCCCAGATCATTTTTTAAAAAGTAAATTGCATGCAAGTGACCTTCTATCCTCCTCTGTCTTGATATTCTGTTTCACTTTGTTAGCAATTAGTACTACTGAAAAGACATCTTTAGCTCAGAACAGATTTTCAACTCAGTTAACATTTCATTGTTGGATGGTGGAAAAACAATTGAATCAGAGACTGGAGCTAAATGGTTCATCTGAGTACAGAAATGCTGTTTATTATTTCAGATGTGTAGCAGTGGCACTTGCTATCTCAGACCATCATTTCAAGAAGGAAACAGCACACAAAGCTGGGTACTAAATCTCAGTTCTGTCCGCCACACTGGTTGCCACAAATCAGGTTCACTGCCTATAGACTGGCACTGAACTTCTTTGTGAAAGTCCTTCCAAGCTGGACCCACATTAAGCCATCTACTCCAGCAGGGCCGCCCAGCCTCACAAGCCACAGCACTTCTTGGCCAGTGTTAAAGTTGTAACTTGCAAAGTACTTAAGGATGAAAGACACTATTAAAAAAAAAAAGTTTTGTATTTTTAGAGCTCAGAGAAGGCTAATAAATAAATTAATCTTTATGTCAGTCTTAGAACATTGTATAGCTTCAGGCAAGTACATGCTCCTTTTCAGGGCAAAATAGAGAAGAAGCAATTTCAGTCTCTGAATGGAAATGGGTTTAGAGGGAAAGTAAACTGCATCTCTTATATGGAAGTGAAAAAGAAAACGATGCAAAGAGCCATGTGTCTGGCTTCCTTGGAGTCCTCAACAGGGGAAGGGAGGGAGTCTTGTCACAAGGGCAAGATGTGGTCTATGCTTGTATAGACAGGGAAATAAGAAAATAGTTTCAAGAGGTGAGAAATGCCAAAGAAATAAAATAGGTATGGTAAAAGAGGTGTTTAAGAGGCTTATTCTCCCTCAATGTAATTCCCTGAAATCCTATTTAATATTAATGGGACTTGAATACGCAGCTCATGGGGAAAGAAGAGTGACCTTTGTGGGCTTAAGTAGGATCCTACAAAATTCAGAGCAGCACAAGAGGTAGCCAAAAGAAGTCGCTTAAGTTCTAAAAAAATGCAGAGTACAGATGCATAGAACGAGCTACTGAGAAAACAAAGTAAGACCAATAAAACTGAGGAAGTAGAGGTAGCTGATGTGAGAGCCATACCCTAAATTCAGATAGCTTCCTTGCCTCTAGTAGATCTCATTGACATGTAGTAATGGCATTAGATATAGTTACTGCTCACTCCAGCTAGCAGGTAACTGCAAAGATATGTACATTTTTGGCAGCATAGTATTCCTTCTCCTTTTTGCTGTGCCATGTGATAAATCCTATGATGAAATACAAATCCCTGCACGATTTTTTATGTAGCCACAAAAAAAATAACTCAAGAGACAGCATTGCAAACATTTGTAATAAGCTACAATTCTGCTGGAAGCATTTAGGAAGATGTAGCAGGTCAGTTTTCAATGGATGCTTGGCAGTAGACCTCTGCAAAAACTTACAGTGCTAGGACTGGGGTGGCAGTGGAGCCACAGCTGGAAAGGGGATAAACCCTCCTGGCAAGAATGATGCTGTCTCTGAACTAAGGCAAAGAAGAGACAGACCTTTAACTGGGGGGGGATCACAGGAGCCACAGGAAAAAACAATGAAGGTGGGATGTAAACAGAGGGTGATTAATTTTGATGGGTCCCATCTCCTGACTGCAATAAATCAAGACATGTCAGCCTCAAATCTAGAAGAAGCGACATTCTGGCAGATGCCTCTGAAAAGCTGATTGCTCCAGCATATCCTAATTCACAAGGGTATGAATGGCAGCAACGGGAGGGCTAGCAGTAAATCTGCCATGGCTTCTCTGCATTTCTCTGTCAATGTATCTTTTATAATCAGCATCTAGTGAAAAAAAAAAACAAAGCTCAAACAAATCAGCCTCCTGATGAAACCACTAAGGCAACATGCAGCTTTCCTAAGAATCAGAGCAGAAGTCTGGTTATGATGAGCACTGAGGAGTGACTAGCCTGTAGCACAGTTACGTAACAAAGGGGCTGCAAAGACCCTCAGACTCTCGCATGAGTCCAGGAAGCTTTACATCACAGTTGCAGTTCATGAAGTTTTACAGCTGATTTATGGTATTGGTTTCAGAACTCTTCACTCTTTTATAAGTGCATGGGACTTTTCCCATAAACACAGATTGAGGAGAAGGCTTTGGAGTATTTTTTACACATTGTAATCATATACAGGCATGCTATCACTTGCAAAAAGTGATACCTATATTCTCCCTCTCTCCGTACCTCTCTCCCCCATTTTATTTCAAGCATATGGGCTGGTATTCCTGTGGGTAAACCACCTAAAAATTAGTTCCAGAACAGACACGTTAATGGCAACTTAAATAACTAAAACATAAAGTAAAGCTGATGAAATCTTGGCAGTGAAATATTTGAACATTGCCAGAAAAAAGTAGATTCCCATCTTACGTCCCAATTTCATTACCCCTCTGATGACCAATACTATCAGTTTGCTTTGATCTTGGTAGCTTTAAGTATTTCTTAGTTTCTGGAGATTAATATATTGTCTCCTGCAATCATAACACCGAGGACTGTGATGCTGTCATATTTTTTTGGTTAAATTGGGGTCAGCTGAACTCGGTGCCCAGATGGGGCATTTCATGAGCAGCCATGGGTGGTTGTGATGAGCTCCCTCCCAAGCAGTGCAGCACCCCAGCCTGGCAGCACTGTTTCCAAGTGCACCACTGGTACCATCTTTTCCCATGTGGCAGAAAGCTGACAGGCGCTTGCTCACACTCATTAAAGATTCCAAGAGGCATTTTATAGATGAGTGAGTTATAGATGCCTATTTGCTGGCTTCCTGAGGGAAGCTGCTCAGATGCCGGATTTTGTACTCATCACAAAGTTCATTGGAAAAGGTATCTTCACTTCCTTTCAGATCTATTTTGCAAAGCATCTGCTATGTTTCATGCAGGCTACAGTTGATTTCTATGGAAATCAGCGATTCCTACATAGGATTTACACGACAGCAGCAGGCTAAGCATTGATAGGCATGCTTAATCCTCAGCTGTGCTCCAGCTGATATCAAAGAGCTTTTATATTTAATAAGTCTCAAACACTTAGAATCACAGAGGACAGAAAAGTACATAAAAATACAGTAGACCCAAGCTGTCCTCCAGGGCAAGATGAAACGGAAAATCAAGAGCATAAGATTTTTTAAATGGGTAGAAGTCCATACTCAATAACAATGAGGAATTATACACAAATCATCCTTCTGTTTCAGGATAATTTATCTAAATATGATGTCAGGCAGAAACCACTGGAGCACTGATGTTGGGTAGGTACGTGTCAGAAAGCAGACATATGAGTAAGTACCATGGATGAAGACTTCTCCCCAAACCTGTTTTCCTTGCTTTGTTTCATGCAGGAGAGTAAACCCTATAACAGACCCCCTCTCCAGAGAGCCTTTCTAAGCTCCACATCTCTGCTCACCCACCTGGCCTTCCACATCAAGCAGAAAATACTTCAGCCTCAGCGATCAAAAACATTCCTTTTCCTGCCTCATGAGGGGAATGCTGCTCCCAAAGCCTGCTGGGATCTGTTTCTGTCCCTCTAACACAAGGACTGTTTTAATTTTAGATCTGAGCTGTCCTTAACCAGAAACATCAGAAAGACATGTTTTTAGAGGTTTTAACCAACCCAGAACAAAACTGTCAGCTGGAAGACTCTTCCTTCAGTCCATTGCCACCTTCTTGATCTTGAGATCTGTCAAACCCAGATAAGATGGCTTCATCCTATTCCCAGCTAGCTGGCAAAACACAAGCTTGAAAGTGCCTGTATCTCTTCCTTGTCCCTGTATATATAAATATCAAGTGTTTTGTGTCACCATGATAGATCTTTTCTGCCCTTCTGCTTTTTCATCCACAGTGCTACTACTCCCCACCATCAAAGCCTGTCCATTCTCTCTCTCACTTAGATAGTGAGATAGTCTTACTTCTGCTCTATCAAAAAAGAGCCTTTAGGAACATCACCCTCAACTATAAAAGCTCATAATAAATCCAATTTCGTCATATTTTCCTCCAAATCTTATTGCTTTATGCAGTATTAAACCAGGGTCACCATTCTCCTCCAACTTCCTTCCTGTTCTCACCATTACTGACAGTTGCTGTCAATCTCATATGGCTGGTTGCCAATATTACTCCTGCTCACCTGTAAAGACAGCATCTCTTCCAACTCCCTGTGAGACTGAGAGAGCATTTAACACATGTGTAACTTTCAGCTGTTTTTGACAGTGAGGTTTCAAAAGATAAAGGAACAGGAAAGCTTGTGTTGATGTCTAAGCAGCCACATACAACGCAGCAGTTCAATTTTCTGGGAAGCATACATGTGGAGGGCTCTGGGTGAAGAAGGAGCATAGCAGGGCTGGGGAAAATGGAATCCCTGCAGAAGAGATCCAGGATGAACAAGTGTGACTAATACAGAGGACGGTTAAATTAAGAGCTTACCTAGTGGTCCCTTTCTCCCTTAGGTCAGTACTCACTGGGTTAGACCTCCATAGCCAGCATTATCATCAAAGATTTAAACTTTCTTACAGGCACAGCAAATAGGGAAGACAAAATCACTTGACTTCACCTTTGATGTAAAAGTAATACAGGTTGTGTAAAGCGTATGACAGCTACAAGAAGTCTATGGCAGTAATTTGAGGAATCTGTGCCCCTGAAAGATGCAGTAAAGTCTCCGGCAGCTGGCGGCCTGATGGAGTTGAGATGATGCAGACACAAGGCTGGGACCTGTAATCCCAAACAGCCAGGCTATTTTATTGTGGTTATTCACATGAATACTTGTGAAATCTACAGGAGATCTATGGATTCCTTAGCTGATAGTATCTCCTGACTGACCTTCTTTACCTCTCTACCATTGGCAAGGAAAAATGTCTCTACTCGTGGCAAGGAAAAATGTTCATGATAGGGTTTGAGACACTCTTCTGACCACCAGCATTTTTAGCTCTGTAACTCTTTGGAGGCTCAGCTCAGTGACACCTTAGTTCCATAATTCTCATGATAACAACTTACTTTTGTCCAGATATCACAGGTATCTTACCACATTCTCCTTCCCTGAGAATTTCATACAGAAGAGGTTATAGTTCTGTTCAAACAGAGACATGTGAAAGAGACCTATAACATCAATTTTTGGAATTAGCCTTTCAAAGCTTTTCAATTGTGCAGCCCTCAAGGAACTGGGCTTTTTTTCTTCATTTCCCTCTGCAGAGAGAGAAAGAGAATCCTGGAGTCACAAAGCCAGGAGCTATGGAAAGCCTGTCTTTACATGCTCCTGCTCTGAGGCACATAAAGCAGACCCAAGCCCATCGCAAGGAGAATGAAAGGGGGAGATCTGACAGCTGGTATTTTGGTGAGGATAAAAGGCCTGGGAAAACCAGGGTATCTTCTCAAAACCTCTGAGGAAGAAGTTGAATCCATAATATGCACTTTTGCACCTGATAGTAACCACGTTGGTTAGGTTTTGCCACATACTTACAGGCAGCTTAAAAATTAATTTGTTCTGATCCAAAGAATTGCTATACACACCTGATCTGAGCATGATCAGGAAGATTTTGTATGAACAAGCAACAGTTTCCCAGAAAACTCAGTTCGTGTCCTTCAAAAGTGGATTAAAATCTTCAGTTGCTAATGGCATAGTGTTTCGAAACTGTACTCGAGTAACTGGGGAAGGGACCAACACTAATAGTCAAATTAGGGATTAGCACAGAAAAAACATCAGAAGTAACTTTCCGTTGAATCCAAGTTTGAGCTGTTCAGATTTTTGTCTTTTATCCTGAATCTATCTTGAGCCATGGCTGGAATTTGGGTAGAAGATTAGGACTAATTTGCCTGAGATCAGTCATCCTTTATTTAAAAAACATACATTTAACTTATAGCAACATCTCACTGAATTCTATGACACAGGAAAACAAATCTGAAACGAATTTAGTTCTTAGACTTTCCTTTCAAGAGACAACAGCTTTGAGTTATGGCAGAGCATGGGTGCTTGGACTACTGACTTTTTGCAGTTGGCTAAACTATGTGACACTTTTTTCCGGTGATGTGACTGACTGGGGAGTAGTAGTGAGTACATAGACATCTATGCTCAGACATCACTGAATTAATGAGAGATTCAACAACTGATTGAAAAGACACATCTTCAGAGCCCACCACTGCCTTCTTCACACCTAACAATGTAAAATATGAACCTCAAGAGGACCAAGGAGTTACTAATAGCATAAAAAAAGGGAAACTGAATATAACTGAGGGTACTGGACATTCTGATAAGACTTTTTACTTGATATCATTGTAGCAATTTGGTTAAATGCAGAGAAGATCATGGCCCTGAGTAGATTTGTGGAAGCCAGTTTAAAATGAAGCACTGATACTCAAATACTCAATGGTTGTAAGAAGATATCTTATTCCATAGAAATTATTTGAAATATACTAATTCTAAACTGGGGGCAAGGGGGTTGGAGGTAGGGGAATAAAAGTCACCATTTTTTTTCTGTCTGTAAGTCACTTGGAGAACACCACCACTGAACCAAAGGAGGAATTCTTCCTGAAATAAATCCCCTTTAAAATACGTACAGAGATTTTTCTTTTGTTTGCTTCCTGGCTCCTTCCTATAAATTTGGTAATCCAATCTTCTTCCTCCCATGTCTTGCCTTTTCTGATTCCTAATTTTTTGTCCCACAATAACCTGCTCCATCTTTGATCCTCAATGTCCACAGATTTCAGAAGGTTCATCCCATTCTAAGGGCGTAAACCATTGACAGTGCTTACAGAAATGCTAGTTTTATAATAATTCTGTTATTGCCAATGCCCTGTGCTCTTCACTGTTACATTTCTGGCAACTTTTGTCTTTGTGTTGGGGCATAAAAATATATTCAGAGTTACTGTTGCCTTTTTCAGAGGTGGATTCCACTGTGATCTCTCAGGAGTATACTCTTTATTGCAATAAGTTCTCTGAGAAACAAAATCACTTCTTAAAACTAACTGCTTCTGCGTACAGACATTATTTAGTAATGACCTCAAGTGACAAAAAGCAACCAGAAATTTGCAATTAACAAGATACAGAAAATTTCCCTGCTCTGCAATTAGCTTTTTTTGTGCTGGATCCTATGTCTTGACCCTCATCTTGGCATTTTTATATCTCCAAATACTCCAGTACATGTGAAAGTTTACTTCTATGACTAATCCTATTGATTCGGATCAGACTACTCATGTGAATGAAGTTATGCGTTAATATAGGACTTTAAAGGCTCAGGATCTCTTCATCCAAACCTTATCCTCCCAGCCTTTCACCATGACCCATGAATTCCAGTGGTTTTCATTCATATACAAATAAACAAACCAGGGAACCAAGGGATATTAATTGGCCTGGAGCCAGGGCAAGGATGTCTTTTTTCAGTCTGAGGTTCTTAGGTCTGGTCTCCTTGTCCTATTTCTGATAATGGTTCTCAATTCAATAAAATTCTTGCCAGGGCTTCCCAAGCATCGACTGCCTTTTAAGGCAAGTATTTGAAGCTATGACAGATGTAAGATAGCTGGTTTATTTGTTATGAAGTGTTTAGTAATGCATTCACATGAAAAATGCTTGTGAATTTTAGTAAAGAATGACATACAGAGTCTGAATTTTGTCTTAAATCAGTTAGTTTGTAGGTCTAGGAGAGCTGGTTTCATCATGTTGAAAAAGAAAATCCTGTGAAATATATTAAAATCCAGATGCAAGGGGTTTTTTTTTTTTTTTTTTATTACCAGGTTTGCCAAAATACCAGTAAGGTTATGGAACTAATAAAGTAAATCCTATGCTCGTGTGACTCAATTGCATCTAGTCTGAAGATAAGTCTGACTTAAGGATTCAAATATATGAAGTGCTTGCACAGTAGATGTGAAATGAGTGTATCTAAGTATTAAATCATGAGCAAGTGTTATCCATCTGCTAAGTATATTAATGTACTGCATCATGTATACTGTACTTTAATGTGCTTATATTAAATTTAAAGTGCCAGAAGGCAATCAATTTGGATACTTGAAAGTGAAAGGCTTTCCCAGCTTTTTTTCCCAAAACACTGAATTAGGATTTTTATTGGGTTGGTGGTTTCTTTGGTGATTCTGTGCTATCTTGGCAGGTATTATGAACAGCTCAGCAAGAAATACTGTTCTACCTAACCTGCCAGAGAGCTCAGAAGTGAGGCAAGTCATGGAAGTGCTGGATTGTGGTTCTAGCTTGAATTTTACCCATGTAAGTATACAAAAGTTGAGTAGAATCTCATTTAGGGTGCAAGATGCACTCTAGTTCAAAGGCTGAACTGGGCAGGAGTGAGAGAAATGGAGAAAGCAGTAGAATGCAGATACAATTCAAGTACAAGTATAATGAATATTATATAAGCCATGTTTGAAAGTGGGAACATTTGGAATAGAAAGTATCTTGAAGCATTTATGACCATTATCAGGCATTCAAGATTTTGTGCTTCTGTGTGTCACCTTAGTTCCAACAGAGTCCCAGATTCCAATTTCTACTATTTATTCTCTGCCTTTCTTGACCATGTATGCAAAATACTTTACAAACCTAGCAGACGGGTGCTTATTTTTCACCAATCTGTTTCTGCGTAATTCTAATTATGAACTTATGTTGTTTCTGGTAAAGAAATCCAGTAATGGATTGTGGATTGGTCAGACAGAATACAGCAAGCTGTAGACATAAAAATATGGAAAGAGCTCCAGACACTAGTTCTGTCTAGTGGAAAACTGTTATCTGCAAACGCCATCCACATCTTCAAACACAGACCCATGAAAAGCAAACAGTAGCATCTTGTGTCAATACCTTTGGCCTGGTCATGCACGAGATCTGCTGAAACATGGCATTCAGAGATTCGAATCTTCAAAGTGAGAGCACTTCCCTCCTGGTGGGAAGCGTGGCTGCCTCGGGTCTGCATGCACAAGCTCTTCAGCAGACCTTTTAGTTAAAATTCTTTTTGCTGCTGTTTGTGTTGGAGCGCTGCAGATCTGCCGTTTCTTATACTCCACCTGCATGTATTAATGGCCAGTTCAATATATCTGGGGTACAGTTCTTATTTCAAGCGGCTTTATTCTAGCTACCAGATGCAAAATATACTTTTTAAGGATTTTAAGTGGTTTGTAACCTGACCTTGCATGGTATATCACCTTATGTGTGACCAGCAATTTCTGAGACAGAGTTCCTGACTGCAAGCAGTTAAATTACTGGTTACAGCCATCTGGTTTACTCCTGGAGTAGGAGTTTGACTCCTTAGACCAAGTTACTCTAATTCAAAACCTATAAATCTTCACCAATAAAAAAAAAAAGTAAAAAATTGTGGCTGTTTTTAAGAGAAGGAAAAAAACCCCAACAGCCCAGTTCTTTCTTTGCATGGATAGCATTCTCAAAAGTGCTACAGCAATCTGGTTTCAATCTTAGCTATGATCCTAAGTAGATGCCTTCTTGACTCTGGTATCATCATGGCTGCAAAATAAGAAGCAGGCTCACTGGCACTGAACATACGCATGTCCTGGATTTGCTCTGCCTCCTGCTTGTGGAAAGCTGGCAAAAGCAGCAAGGCTGAGTCTTACATGTTTTTTTTTTCTCCAGTTTATTGTGTTTAGATGGGGTAAGCATACTGCAAAGCTGCTGGTTGTCCACTTGATGGTATCAAGTAACTGAACACGGGAGGGTACAGCTGCTTAATGCTTTCTGTTTGGGCAGACGTGACTGGAGATTTTTATACCAGGTAAACCAGCTGCATTATGTTCTTCACCTACACAAACAAATCCAGTGCTAGATTTAATCAGACTGTGCTTCAATTAGCTTGCTGCTCAGAGTCTATAGTCCAGCCTAGTCTATTCTGGACCAGCCTTGCTGGGAGGCGGATAAATACAACAGGAAAATCATCATGGTTTCCTGCAAGAGAATTGCTAATTTGCATTGTGTCCAACAGAAACATTATGATCTGGCTCATTTTGTAATCTTTACAACAGCAAATGCATATAAATCTAGTGCAACAAGGGACTTTCTGCCTCAGGGTAGCTCATTTCTGATATGGAATATACCACATTCAAAATAAACGGATGGCATGATGCTGGGTCAGAAAGGTACTTGGACAGAAAGACTGCACCTTCTGGCCAAGCAAAACATTGACCCAGGTCACAGTGGTACACGGGTATGCAGTTGTCTGTGCCCTGAATGGGCACTGAAGCAACCAGAGGATGTCCTTATCCCTGATAAGAAGATAAATAAGAAGAGCTGATCTCAGGAGGAAATTTCACCCTGTCCTAGATGAGGCAGCACCCACTTGAGCATGGCAGCAGCAGGGCACGGGCAGCTGTCCTGCCTGCAGCAGGGCCTCAGTAACCCCCAGCATAAAATCACAATCATATCCCGAGAGTCTGAAGCTCTGTATCTGCTGGATGTCACCACAAGCAGGGGTGAGTAATGGCACTGGCTACTAACAGCAGGGGGTAACGCTAAGAGCTGAAGCTGGCGCCAATGGCTCTGAGCGCCTCGGGCCGTCAGCGGCTCCAAGGCATCCTGGGACTGCTCATACCACTCTCAGGGAGCCCAAATAAGAGCATGTTGGTATTATTTGTTTTCTTCTATCAGACTATTCATTCCAAATACCATTGCATCTTCTTATTGTCAACAGATAGTCTGTGGACAAGGCCGTGTTTTGAAAAGAGCAGTTGCTATTCACAAGCCCTGGTCATAAGGTATGTGGCACTTGGGGGAATTTGTTTGCAAACTGTTCATTGCAACTATTAACTGTTTATCATGAAGAAATTATCACCTGGGGCTATGTAACCATGATTCCTTCTGCCTGACTAGATTCCACAAAACTTTTTCTTAGAAAGGAGAAAGACAAATTACAAAAGATAAATGACTAGCTATGAACTTCTGGTAAGCTTTATTTAAAGTCTATGTAATTATACTGAAGCCCACAAAGCTTTTTGGATCCTTGTCTTCATGGCATTTGTGATTGCTTGAATACTTGGGAAACAATAGGTAATAAAACTGCACAAATATGACTGCATAAGGAAACTTGATTCCTTGTACAAACGAACTAGTACTCTCAGTCTTATCTGAGAAGTGCCATAGTTGGACAAGTCTCTTCTTCGTTCCACTAGTCTTTATATCTTGCAAATAGTCAGTATTCACACGAATAAATGCCAGCCAGGAGCTGTGTGCACCTTCAGATTCTTGTCCTGCTTTGAGAAGCTTCTCTGGTTTGAATGCTGGGCACAAGGGATGTCACACGAGGTGCTACAGAAAAGATGCACTGTGGTTATGCCAAGACAAGAACCAAACCACAACAGCATTTGGAAGGTAAGAGGCAGAGTGGAAAGGAACAGAAATCAGCAAGCTCTCCACCAGCCCATGTGTGCAGTTGGGCTGAAGAGGTGTCTATGCTTCTTTTCTAGCCAAACACCCGGAGCAGGGCAAATGGGTCAGTGTGCACGAAACAGTGAAGAAACTACTTGGTAAATAAACAAACAGAAACAGCTAAAATTAAACCGACTCGCCGCAATGGGAGGCTAGTTCATTCTGCTCCTTTGGAAGTGAGCCCTCGCATCCCGTGTGCGCGCTCCCTGGAAGCTGGCCGCTGAGTTACAGTCATTTATCCTCCGTGCTCTAAAAAAAGACCGGGACGACGGATCACTTCCCGTGTTTTATGCCCGTGCCGTGGGCATGACAGCGCGGCTATAAACCGCCGTAAATCAGCGCAGCTTCCCAGCACCTCTCCCGGCGGGGCAGGCCGCCCCTTCCGCAGCACCTCCCTGTACCCCCCACCTCTCCCCGCTCCATCCTGTGGCGGGGCGCCAACCGCTCACCCTCATTTCTTAGTCTAATGTCCCGAGCATACATTATACAGATTGCTGCCTCCCGCCCCGGCCCGCTCCTCCGCCTAGGTGAATACATTATGCTAATGAGGGCGGGAGGTGGGCCGGCGGGCGGGGCTGTGGCTCCGCGGCTGGCCGCGGGGCAGCGCGGGGTACCGCGGAGGCTGCCGTCGGGTTTCTCCGCCTGGCGCGGCTGCTGGGCGCCGTCGCGCAGGTGGAGGGGGAGCAACAAGTCCGACGGCGGCGGGGAGGAGAGCGGGAGGAGGAGGAGAAGGAGGGGGGATACACACACACATACGCTTCCCGCCCCGCGTCTGAAAACCCCTCTGACAAGTGGCAAACCGCTAGCAGAGCACGCTGCTCCTTCCGAAGAGCGGGTGGAAGCTGCGGGGGCTCGCCCCTAGCCCAGCCCTGCTGCCGGCTTTTGGCTCCTCGCCCCCCTCCCATCACCTCCTTTCCTGTCGCCCCTGCTGTGGCGCTGAGTGGAGACCCGCTGCCGGGCGGCGTGCGGCGCTGGCTGCTGTCTCGCCTTGAAAGTGTGCGAGCCGGTTGAGGGCTTTCCTTCTACTTACAGCTAATTTTTTTATTATTATTATTTTATCTTTTTCGCTCTTTATTTTTCTCGTACTTTATTGTTACTGCTTTTTGTTGCCGCTGTTTGAAAACTAATTGCCTCCATGGGGGGCGGAGGAATGGAAATCAGAGCTGCCGCAGCTGAAGGGTGTAAAGGCGCGCTGGTGAAGAGCCGCGGAGCCGCAGGACGGGATGGCAGCGGGCAGCGCGGCCGCGGCGGGGATTGCTGCCCGCGGTGGGCCGGACCGTGCGGCTCGGCGCTGGCGGCTCTCCTCTCCGCGCTGGCTACCGCCTCCTGCGTCTACCTGGGGGTGCGGACCAACGACCTACAGGCCAGGGTCGCGGCCATCGAGGGCGCCCGAGGGGGCTTCTCTACCGCCGCCCCCCTCCCGCCGCTGCCCGGCTTCTCCCTGGAGCAGCTGAACGCGATGATGCAGGAGAAAGTAGAGCGGCTTCTCGCCCAGGTGTGCGGGGCGCGGATGGCCGCTCTCGGCCAGCGAGTGTGCCGGGGATGGGGGGCCATGCGTGCGGGACGATAGGAGTGCCGCCTGAAGCGATGAGAGGGGCGACCGAAGCTGCTCCGAGGGCGGGAGATGCGGGGGGAGCGGGGAAACGGAGCCCGTACCTCCGGCTGGTGACTGAGCCTGGGGAGAAGCGGGCTTGAGGTGGAGACCGGAGGAGGGGCCCGGCTGCTGGGGCTGGCGGGTCTGGGGGCTTGGGGACCCCCAACGCTCGGCGCTGTTCTCATGCGGGGGGGGGGGGGGGGGGGGGCGGCGGAACTTGCGTCGGAGGCAGGGGAGAGCCGGTGGCTTCGGGCTCTGTTTTGCTGTTGTGGGTGTGCAGAAGACAGCGAGATACCGCGGGTGGAGGCCAAGTCCCAAGTGGCGAAGCCGTGGCAGGGTGCGCAGCCCGTGGGATAGCGCGAACTCCCGGCTCGCGTCCCCGCCGGCCGGGAGCGCCGGTTGCGGCGGGTGAGCTCCCAGGGGCCCTCACTTTGCTTCTCTCCCCCTCAGAAATCCTACGAGCACTTGGCAAAAATACGAGTAGCGAGAGAAGCGCCTCCAGAGTGCAACTGCCCACCAGGTAACGGACACAGCGTGGTAATTGCCTCTCTGAGGCTTGTCACTCAGAGGGGAAACATGGGGAGGGGCTTGGTATTCCGTGTTTTTCAAATACACCTAAGTCAGATCTGGGGGATGCCTCTTCAGTCAACAGCTCTACCTTGGGTGGAAAGGTGTAAAGCCCAGGATTATCTGTTTCCGCTGTGACAGTAGGTTGGAATTACTGCTAGTTAAAAGCCTTGGTTAGGCTGGGTGATGCCAACTCATAACAATTACAAAGAAGTTAATGATCTATCCCAGCAAGAAGGAATATATTCTCCCGCAGATAGGGCAGTACTGAATCAAGGCATTGTGTGCTTAGCTTGGGATGTGGAACAAAAGTTCCTAGCAAAAATATTGAACAATTTATAACATGGATTGTAATGAGTCTGTTGCAAGTTAGCAGTAATATATACAAGAGCTTTTCAGTCTCATTTTTCTGTAGTCTTGGATGAAAGCAATTCCCCTAGCAAGGGATTACAGGTTTCATACAAGAAGGTTCAGAACTGTTTATGCGACCAGTGATATTGATTGACTTTGGAAACCGGCCTCCTAATACTGGGATCAGTTGTTCATACATGCACACTGCAATGTTTCCTATGTTTTTCATGCTGCTTTTTGACAGTGTGATAACTACTGATATTGTTTTAGCTATTAAACTGTCATTGTTGTTTATAAACTTCTGCTAATATATACCCAAGTTCAAATGGTATCTTAAAAGTTAAGAAAATACCAGTATTTCCTAGGGTGATGTGGGAATTCCAGCATCCTCTGTGTGAGGAAGCACACTAGATTCACTGTGTGCTTGATGTGTCCTGCCACTCTGTATGAAAAAAACATCCCATTTACAGGTGGAACATCAACTGTCGACAAGCATTGAGCTCATTTTGTATGCCAATAGGATGTGTGATAGTACTGTGTGTATAAGGAAGAAGCTTTTCCAGTTTAGGATGTGATTCCTGCTAAACTCATCAGTCTGAAAGGAGTACTGAGTCTAGGTATTAAAGCTGGCTACAATGGTTGGTTCAGTATTTTGATGATGCTACAGCTGGGAGGAGAGTACTGGCTGCTAAAAGAGTTACCAGGGCTAACATGAAAAGGACAGTATATGTGACTCGGACTGTTTTAAAAGGGTGCATAGAATTACTCAATTCCCAGACAGTTTTGGTAAGGAATGTTGGTTTCCTGCCCTCTGTATAATGTTCTCCTTTATGGCTAACATGAGCATACAGTGTTCATCTTATTTTTTCTGTTGCTTAACTGCAATAAATTACAAGATTCATGTTTGTGCACTAAAAATGAGGGTTGATGGTCATGTTGTATGTAAAGATGTGTTCTGTGAACCTGAAACAGTGTTGAATTTGATGCAAAGCTCTCTTCTGCTTCCTTATTTAATTTGCTACAATGTTTCAGTTACTGTTTTCATACTAAAGGTCAGTATCAACTTTTTTCATAGCTGGTGTTATGCACTGCTTTACTTCCCCACTACCACTAGAGCTCCACATTATACCAATTTTTATCTGACCTTTTTCCTTAAGAAATACGTTTTACCAAATAGGTAATGAGCAGCAGAATAGTTCTCACATGCATTGGAGCAAGTCCTTGCTAGATGAAAGTAAAAATTAAGTGATCTGTGAAACCTTTTCAAGGGAGCAAGACTCATAAGATCAGGAAAAATTATATAAATTGTTACAATGAAAAAAACTAAATTGCAGAGAGGACTAGCTGGTATGGGGGCTAGAAATGTGATATGGAGCTTTTCACCTCCGGGTAGCTATTTCGGTTTGGAAGCAAGTTTTGTAGTGGCTGAAAGATGCTGCCATGTGATAGCCTCATGTTGGACAGCTTAAAATGAGTTGATGCTCTCATGCTTGTTGCCAGTGGACAGGTGTCTACCTCAAAATGGCATCTTCTTGAGAGCCTTGTCTGAGACAAGATGGGCTGAGTGGCACTAGCACCTGAGGAGTGTGCCTTCCTAATAGCAGGCATTAGAACAGGATGGGATAGAGCAAATAAACGGTTGTTACTTCATTTGGTTCACTTTGTTAGAATTCCCTTCCAACTGGACAGGATGGGCTTTTATTTTCATCCTTACTACTCCTATTTCAAATCTGGACTACCATGTTTAGAAAAGCATTTGGTTTAATAGGAAAGGTATCAAGTGTTTTTTCTGTTGCCTGCTATTTGTGAAGCCAAAGAATACATTGCCTCTTTACTTCTCACATGGTTCCCATGGTGCTGCTTTATTCTGCTCAGCTTCTTCATTTCTTCCCTGGATTTCTGTAATAATAAAATACATGTCTGTTAGGGATGACACTGGGAGGCCTTCACGGTACAGAGCTGATTTTTGAAACATCCCTATGCTGTGTGAAAAGGTTGCTGCCAAATGGCTACTGAGTCAGTTTCCTTCATCCTACTCTTTAAAGAGAAATAAAGATTGTTTAAAAGTAGGTTACATTGTTCTCTACCAAAAGAAGAGAGGGAAATTCAACCTGCTGACAGGATGGTGAGAACATGGCCTCTGATTTAGGATTAAAGTTATGCAACTGGTGTAGATCCCACTAGCTTGAGATGTTCATCCCATGGTAGGAACTTGCACGTTCAAAGGAAAGTGGGTTTGAATGGCTTGGGTACCGAAGGCAGACAAATTCACAACTGCTCATAGCTTGCAGAGCTGTCCACATGTGGCTTCTTTTAATTCAACACTAGCCTTGAACTTTGTCTAGAGTGAAGAATTGTTCACATTTCTCTTTCAAAACTTTGTATTCACTAAATGTGGGTTGTTTTTTTTTTTTTTTTTGTGATTATTATTTTCTATTTCCTTACAAACACAATGCAAGGAGATATTAGAATTTTGAATTTCCACAGGACTAAAGCCAGATACCAAAGATTTTGTAAATATTTAAAAAATGACAATAGCAGGCATTCTTTCTCTTCTTAAAGCAGAGTAATAAAGTTTGAAAAGTAAATGCATGCTGACATTCCTCTTAAATTACCTCAGTTCTAACAAGAGTGCCAACTTAAATCCCATGCTTGCGACTGGTGCTGCAGTCACTGCTGGCAGTTAGCCTTCTGCAAATGCGACCAGGGTGCAAACTGAGTGGCTGAAATTATTTTTACAGTAATAAATTACTGTTCCTTTGCCAGATTTATTATTTATTGTAAATTAATGTTTCTATACTGTAAAATATGAACAAAAAAAGTAGGTGTGTAGGTGAGTATTTCATACGTTCCTTTAAATGGCTGTGGGAGCATAATCAGCTTTTATGAGGAACAGTCAAGCACAGTGCTGGATACTTCTTACCTAGTGCCAAGAATTACACTGTTGTGGAAAGAGTAACATGTACAGAAAGCCCAGGGTTACTCCTAATTCAGTAGAGTTTTAAGAAATACTTAGTTTTTTTGTAGATTCTTCAGACTTTCCTCTTTCAGGAAACATTCATGCCTAGGACCTGTAGACCTCAACAGAAATTAATATATGCCTACATTTTTTAGTGAATCGATCCTTTATGCATTGTAAGGGTCAAGTTTTGACACTTAAGGTAAAGTGCCAGGATGTCTAATTCTGTAAGTGATCCTCGGAACTGGAGTCAGATGATGTTGGCAGGACTAGGAGTCAAGTCTGTTAGTACAGAAAGTCCAAACTTGGTCGGTAGGAGGGCTAGCAAGTGATTATCTATGGTTTTGCATGTCCCTTTAGGCCAGTTTGGGGAAGCCATTAATTTCTTTTTCCCCCTTCTCTTTTGAGGATTCTAATGAATTTATTCGTTAAGGAAAAAAAAAAAAAGGAATGAGAGGAAGGAAGCAGCAAGCAGCATTATACAAGTGGGAAAGCCAATGTGCCACACATTTATTTAATTCTTCATTGACAAAGGATACGTAGCATAGCAGCAGAGATGTTTTTTTATCTCTTAACTGCTGTGACACACTGTATATGCCTGTTCACTGTAGCTTGCATGTAAATTGATGGTGTTTTCTGCTTGTTGGCTTGATTTTCCTTCTTTTTTTTCCCCCAGAACATTAGCTAAACTTCACTGATGAGTACCCAGCAAACTGATCAAATAAATTTGCTATTTTCTTTGTGTCAAAGTTTTTTCCTTTACTCTTTCTCTCTCTATATATATATTTTTCCTATCAAGAACCCCAAGTTTTTCTCCTCTTGTGTTTGAATACCTGTGACTTCAAACCTTTTCCAGGCATGGATGCTATCATCATTCTTCTTTCTTAGCCAGCTATTTGGTGCTGGTTTTGTAATCATGTCATCTTGATTCTCTGTTCTAGTCTCCAAGAGCTTTATGGTTTGGCATTTGAAGTAACTCCTATTTCACTGTCAATTTGCTATGATCAGGTTATACAGCTTGTTTCAGTGTAGTTGAGTGTATATAAACGTGTTCATTCAGGAGACAAAATGCCATAAGCCAAGGTTTATTTTTTTTGGGGGGGGGAAGGGATAGAGAATATTAGTTGGTTTTATTCTGGTGGGACAACTGCGTTCTACAGCTACAGTTCTTCAGTAGGATGATGAATCTGTTACATGCATTTTGGTAGCAACATGGATGGTAAAAATCGGTATAATTTTTTAGAATCCCAGTATTGGTTTTGTCTTTGTAAGCACCTAATATTTGTTTTGACATGCAGTGGAAGTACAACTTGGGCACTCTTTCTTATTTCCACATGTTCCATAAGGACTATTTCCTGGAGCATTTTGATTAGTGAGGCTGAAAGAATGGAAAAGAAATCAATCTCTGGGATTAAAAGTATTCTGAAATAGGTATCAGTAAGGTATTACTTGTTTGTTTGCTTCAAGTTATGTTTATAATGAAGCAGTTCTCTAAAGACTGAAGAGTAAAGAGGAGCTACAGAGACCCAAAAGAAAGTACAGATGTAGAATGTATCCAAAGTGTTTTTCCCTGTTATTTAAAGTTCCAGAGTGCACTATCTGAACCTAGCTCCCAGCACTACTTATTTCTGCCATGTCTGTAT